GCTCAGGCCCACAGGCGCGCGGAGACGCTCATTTTCAGCAAACACGCTGTTGTCTCCGTCCGAAACAACAAGCTCTGCTTTATGGTTCGCATCGGGGATCTGAGGAAAAGCATGATCATCAGCGCCACCGTGCGAATGCAGGTTGTCAAGAGAACCGCCACGGAGGAGGGGGAGGTGGTGCCACTAGACCAAATCGACATACACATGGATAACCCAGTGGGTACCAATGGCATCTTCCTGGTATCTCCCCTCATCATCTGTCACATAATTGATAAGCACAGCCCCCTTTACGAGCTTTCAGCCTCAGATCTGTTACACCAAGACATAGAGGTGATCGTTGTGTTGGAGGGGGTGGTGGAGACCACCGGTATCACCACCCAGGCCAGGACGTCCTACGTGTCTGAGGAGATCCTGTGGGGACAGCGCTTTGTGCCTACAGTGTCCGAAGAGGACGGCATGTACGCAGTGGACTACTCCAAGTTTGGCAACACTATGAAGGTCCCAACACCTTGCTGCAGCGCTAAGAAACTGGATGAGGCAGGTGGCATCGCTCGGTTTAAACTGACCGAGGGCGTCACCTTGCGGGCGTCAGATAGAAGACGCCGGGGCTCCGCGGCGGCTCGAAGGTCCAGGCTGGAGACCATGAAAGCTCACGATTAAGAGTGTGCAAATCATGTCTGCGAGCATTTTGTATGAGAGTTAACAGTCTAAGATTGGTGGTTATTGATTCAGATAATCATATTTATTTTATAACATATGACAGGGATTACCTGTAATCAACAATCGGCATATATTCTCTGCAGCCCGTGCGCAAAACATGCGTTTATACTCAGGGTCAGTGTGAAAATGAGATAGAATGCACTGATGATTAAAAGTGACTGTTGTATCAAGAGTGAATCAGCTTGCCTTTTATTTAAACAAAAAAAGTGACTGCATGTGTCCTAAATAAATAAAAGAACGCTGCTGGAAATGGTGTTGTGAATGGGTCACAAGACGGAAAGGAAATTAGAACAATGAGGCACTCCCACAATTAAGCAAGGCGGAAGAACTCATTAGTATATCCCCTGATTTTACACAGCATAAGTTATAGCACAGTAGGCTGTAACACTAAAAAAAACCCCACAAATCTGCACTACAGTTTCTCATTACTCTTGTCGATGGCTACATAGCTGCCAGCTACTGTGACAAAGATTAAAATACAAACAGTCAAAGATCAGGGCTGAAGAAGCAATCATACCCAAACCCAACTCTATAGGCTGGATCAAACTAATCTTACAGTTCCCACAGTACAGTCAAAAGAATCATTTACATTTTATGAGATC